AGGGAAAGTAAATTAGTCTGTGGAACAGAAATCCTCTATGATTGCACAGATAATCAGGGTACCTCATCAGGCCTCTCTCACCCTATTAGTGCTTGACTCCCTACAAAGGGAGTTTGAGCAACCCCAGCCGCTTTGTGCCAGCATATTATGTTTTTTTGCTTGGACTTTCCAATACAGACATTTAAACAGCAACAAAATAAAAAAAACACCCTTAAAACAACTATTCAAACAGCTGTAACTTTGTCATTTCTCCTTTTTTCTTCTAAAATTTATTGTACCAAAAGTTAACAAACCTAATTAACAATTACATAAATATTTTATACATTTCATTGAGGAGCTGCATGCCAAAACTAAGACAAGAATAAAAATCATATATTCATTCAATATGCTAAAGAATGCTATCTTGTCAATACAGTTAGTGCCTTGTTTTCATGAATATTTACATTTTCCAAGTTGGAAAGAACAAGAATTTGAGTTTTGGATCTTGGGAGAAAAGGAATGGTGTTTGCAGCTTGTGACACACTCAAGATCCTTACGGAAGACGTGATTTACCTACGGGTGGGTCCATTAATGAGTGAACATATGGTTGGAACAATTCCAACACCTTCCATGGCGTGGGAAAGTGGTACATCTTCTAAATACATAACATGACTAAGGTCAAACGTCCTTCCCTTGGCCAGAAAGCCATCAAGTGCTGCGAAGTTCTCAGATTTTTGAAAACCTAATCTAATTACCTGAAATTATTTAGAGTTAAAGTAAAGGTTAGCTTTAGATGATCCTCCACACCATCCACAGCTATTGTTGGGCCAGATTCTGTAAATTTTTACTTACATAAACACTCCCTTTCTTAGCAGCTGGACATACTCAAGGCACACACAGCTACTTACATGAATAATCCTTAAAACATAAAATGGAATTCAAAACCTAGCAGTGGGTACTTTCAGTTTTACTTTATTCTGAAAATTTCTAGTTTACCATTGTTTAAACACAGAAATTCATGTGAAATACTTAAAAAAAAAAAATCATAGTTTTTAAGTAGAGACAGCAAGGAAAAACATAAATATTATATAAAACAGTCAGTCTGGATATGGAAGATGAAGCAATCTAATATCAGGGAAAAACAGGAGCATTCATTACCTAGTATAAAAAATGGCTCATATAACACAAGCAAAATACCTCAAGGTATAATTATCTGTGTTTACAAACTGAATAACCGACTTAGCATATGCTCAGCATCTGAAAATAGATGCAAGATTAACTTGAGAAATGGGGAAAGCTGAATGAAAAATTTCAGGGCCTGCAGTTAAGCATTAATTAAGAGGGTTTTTCCCTGAGGTCTGTTGGGGATAGTTCTAGATTTGTGAACATCAGAGATGATAAAGGTACTGATTAACCCAAGATTCACGTGCTACAAACCAAAGAAAAGTGAACTTAGTACTTTAATTAGAATTAAAAGAACTATAGAACCATGTACTTGTTACAGAAACCAATGTATTTGTATATTTAATTATTTTTCTTGATTAATAACTATCTATGCATATTAACAAGGATGCTAGACAGAAGTAGGCCTCTACTGTGTCAGCAGTTGTACCAATGCACACACTATGTTTAGGAAAAAAAAATGTTTTCTATTGGCAATCTTTGGAGGAGAAACCAGCAGCTCACACTTTGTGTGTGTGCACTAAACACACACCCTTGAACATACATGTTTTTTATTTTTTTTATATATGTGTATATAGCTACACACATAATTTAAACATATGGTATACACAGACAAAGAATTTAAATTTTTTTTTATAGAAACCTAGAAGTTTCCCAATTCCACATGCATTACCTCTTTGCCAGTTGGGAGAAGACTGGCACAAGGTGAGACATTTGGCTTAGCACAAAGGGAAGCCTGTCTTACTGATTTGTGTTTCATCAACAATCAGCCCAGAGAGCCTAACAGGCTCTTCCATGATTTTTTGAGGAATCCCTCTGTATTGATGTAAGAAAAGCAGCCAAGTAACTGGTTTAAACTTGGTATTTCTATTTGAATGATGTGAAGATCCTCAGAAGTAATGCCTGAGACTCAGCAGTATGTTTGACCCTACGGAAAATAATCCTTCCTGTACATCATAGTTATTCTAAGCAACTTATTTGCAGCACAATGCACTAGGAATCCTTAATTCCTCCGTAAGTCAAATGCAGAGCAAAACCAGAGTTTGGCTATATACCTTTCTATCAGCCAGAACTCCTAAGGATTCTAAACATTTAGACAGTTTTGAGTGCCATAATAACGATGCTTACAGTAGTCTAAGTGGTAAGTTATAAAACATCTCTTGGCATAGTTTCAATGTTGCATTTTTACTGAATTTAAAGATTTTAATTCTTTTCCCCAGAGTATAACCCATTTCAAATAGAGTAAGACAGTATCCCCAGGTCGCTGAGAATTAGTCTTATTACTAGAGCTGTAGGATGTAATGCAAGAACATAATAAAATGCACTATGCAAAAAGCTTCATGGAGGAAAGAAAATGCTGGTTCTCCAGATTATAGAATCATAGAATGGTTTGGGTTGGAAGGGACCTTAAAGACCATCCAGTTCCAACCCCACTGCCATGGGCAGGGACACCTTCCACTAGACCAGGTTGCTCAAAGCCTCATCCAGCCTGGCCTTGAACACTTCCAGGGATGGGACATCCACAGCTTCTCTGGGCAACCTGTTCCAGTGCCTCACCACCCTCTCCGGGAAGAACTTCCTCCTGATATCTAATCTAAACCTCCCCACTTTCAATTTAACCCCATTACCCCTTGTCCTGTCACTACAGGACCTTGTAAAAAGCCCCCCCCAGCTTCCTTGTAGCCCCTTCAGGTACTGGAAGGTGCTATAAGGTCTCCCCGGAGCCTCCTCTTCTCCAGCCTGAAGAAGTGCAACTCTCTCAGCCTGTCCCCATAGCAGAGGTGCTCCAGCCCTCTGACCATCTTCGTGGCCTCCTCTGTACTTGCTCCAACTGGTCTGTATCCTTCTGATGTTGATTTCACATATCTGATTTCACATATGTGGATTTCACATATTGCTACTGAATCAGAGTGACAGTGGTTTTGATCACAACAATGAAGTCAAATATACACACATAGCTGGTACATTAAAAAGGGGATATATATAGTCACTGCTTTAGCACAGTTATTGGAGAACTATGGCCTTGCTTCTCCATTTAGAGCATATACAGTAGGTAGGTGTATCTGTACAAATTAATGAGCGATCAACATGCTCAGCTCAGGTATGAATATATACCCAGACCAAAAGCTTTTGCAGCATTAGCATCTTACCCATGCCTGTATCTCCGACGGGGATTACAAAGGCACAGAAGTTGCTGTAATGATGTAACACTGTTCCAAGTGAATTTTTGGTAGGTAGGTAACTATTGCCTAGAAGTCTCACAGGACAAGAAAATTTATTTACCTTTTGAAGGTTTGTTGTTTTGTTTGACAGTTATTGCTAGTCTGTGTCAAGGGAATTTCCGTTCATTCCTAGACGTAAGTCTCTCCCAGTATTTCATGTAGACTGACCTAACACTTTCATACCAATAGCATTCATGCATTTATCCTTTCGTGGAAGCTATCTGCTTAACTTCTCTTCTTCTGGAGCTTGTACTTAAATGGTTCAGGTTCACACATACATCTCCAGCCACTTTCTAAGCTGAGGCATTGGGCCACCTTTAATCCTTCCTGTGATTCAGAATGCAGAAAAAAAATTCTCTTCTAACCTGACAATAGTCTGTTACTGATATTAATCGAATAATCACTGTCTTTAAAAAATACAGACAGTTCTAGCTCTTCAAGTTCTTCAATTGCAGCTTTCCTGTTTCAGTGGTAGATTTTCTTCCAGCACGATATATATCAACAGGTCAGTACTTGAAAGTACTAGAATTGCTAGTGCAAAAATGTAAAAGATTGCTGTTGGAATGAGTCATCATACAAGATTGAGAAATGGAATGTGTTGCCACGATCTACTGAATTATTCTTTCCTGAAGCTTTCCCAAATGGTAATCAACTGCAATCAGATAAATCTGTGTCAAATATTAGCCAAGGCTGCATCAATAAACAGTCTGGTCAGCTGCCAGACTCCTGATTCATATTTAAAGCTAGGAATAAGCCCATACTAACAGAGATGCTTGACAAGAGCTTGAAGACCTTTGGTTATAAGCATTGACAGAGCCACAAACTTCTATTATCCCTCAAGCTGCTCTACAGGTACTGTGCAGTACTAGGCGGGAGCTCAGTGGGCAAGGAGGGACTGTATCAGCCTGAACTCCAAACTGAGAGGGAACATCAAACTAGGAGAAGAGGGAGATGGCACTGGCCGGACTGAGGGCAGGAGGGCTCTATCCAGGACAAAGTAGTAACATATCTCTGCCTGAGGTCAGGCGAATATACATCTTATGACCACCAGATTTTTGCACAATAATTCTCTTGGGCTTTAAGACACAAATTGCAGATAAACACATTCCTTTAAAAAAAAAAAAAAGTGCTTCTTTTTTTCTTCTGATGCTGTGAGTGAAGTAACCTAGAAATCGGTGTCAGCTGGTATGTAGAAGATTGAGTACCAGTAGCTACAGCATTTGGAGACCTTAAATTCTGGATGGAAAGATTAAAGACAGGTGGGTTTTGAACATCGGAATCTCTTAGTTCAAAGAAGGGTCCAAACAAGAAATTTAGAAACTCTGCAGCCTGTGGAGACTCAGAAATTCTGTGAAGACTCTAAAAAGAGTTATTTTTCCCAAAGCAGGTCCCCAGCCCCACAGGGCTGATTCTCAAGAGTATAGGAAACTTGTTACTTTGTAGACTCCATCTCTAAACCCAGCCTAGATTCCACACTCTTGGAGATTAGTCCTACCTACAAGCCATCTCAGAGTTAATCACAAGAAAGTGCCAAAACGTAGGGGCCAAATTCTGAAGTGCCATTGTCCTGTCTACAGGACTACGAATAACAACCAATTGCGATGCAGTTTGGAGTGCACATTTGGGAGCACATATTGTCTTCATTAAGCCCTACTTTTTGGAACCAAGGGATATAGGAAAACAAAATGGCTTCTGTTGGAAAAGAAAAAAGGCAGAGTCTTTTTTTCTAGCCTAAGAAAAGAAGGAAAAGAAAAAAGGCAGAACTGTTAGTGCACAAGTCTGATGCAATCTCATGAACTTCAAGCAAAAGTATGATCCAGAGGAATCTGACTTGACTTGCTAGTTCTTCTGCCGAGGAGGAAGTTTAAAGCTACGATGCAAGTCTTACAAGCCAAATGAAGACAAAATATAATTTCTAAAGCTGTTTGTGATTAAGGGCTTAATTTTAATTTCTCATATCTTGCTTAGCTACCCTGATCCTGCAATATATCCATATGCAATCTTCTGTCAGGGTAACTACACTTCGAAGGTCTACAGTCGGAAACTAAAAGGTGGGGTCTGTTGGGCAATGCTGTGTCTTCAGCATCACATTCCACTACAACACAGTTTCCAGCTGGCACAAGTGAATAAACATTTTTTGCCCTGGGAAGGTTTGGAAATACTTTTGAGAAGGTTGAGTGGTTGTCTACCCTTCTGTAAAAGAAGAAACAATTAATAACGATTTGTACTTTTGGATATTATGAAAATAAGCATCCACTTTCTGTATGGCAGAGCCATACAACTGCCAGGAAAATACTAAGACTCACCAAAGCTTGAAAGGAGTGTTGTAAATGCCTAAACTCCAGGGGAAAAGGAGATTTTTACTCATAGCTTCATGCGAAGTTATAAAGCTGTAGCGAAACTACTAACATTACCAGTAACTGGTAACATCACCAGGAACTCATAACCTGAGCGTGAGAAGCAGGATGTCTTTCAGAAGAGGCAGTTTCCTCAGCCGTGACCTTACCACACTTCCCGCAACCTCTGCGTAACGTGCCTGTACCACACTTCCCATCACCGCGGTTACCTCAGCGAGCCGGCAC